TAAACAGTTTATTGGTGATGCATCGGATAAAGACGAAACTGCCAATATTTTCTTTTAAATAGTTCAGTTCTGCACTTGGCATCTGTGATTGACCACGATACAATTTTAAGCAGCAGTCTGTTTGTTGTTGTTGTTGGATGCTGTGTACACTTTCTAATTGTTTACATAAATCAATGATATAGAAGCGAAATACATACCAAAGTGCAATGTCTTTCGTGCGAAATGCATGATTAATTAAACGATAAACAAAACTATCTTTTGTATACCATTCAATTGCGTTATCATATCTATAAGTTTTATGAAAGTCTTCTATTTTTCGTAGTTCAACTTTATTGTCACGATGATAGTCCTTGAATTTACTAATCATAATTCTTTTGGCTTCTTCTGTATGCGATATTTGCTTTATAATATCAGCAAAGGATACATATGAAAAATAAGCGCTACGATTAACATTATCGTTATAGTCACCGTCATCTGCTGATGACATAATCGGTCGTATTGATTTTAATGGTTGATTATGAAACAGATTAAATTTTAATGATGGTAATTCACGTTGAATTGAATTTTTCAATGTTTCATATTCTGTACATATTTCAATAATATTTGAATATTTCTTTTTTAAATCTAAATATTTCTCTCTAACTCTACAAAATATAATTATTATTGATAGATCATTATGTATTTTTTCTAAATACTTTCGTGCATATACACCTGATATTTCAAGTAAAGTTTTTCTGTTATTATTATCATCAAATTTCATTTCATGTAAATAATTTAAAAGTGTAATTGGACTATTGTAAAATAAACAATTCTTATCGTTATTAATTTGTCTAAAAAGTGCTTGTGTACGCAATGTCTCCCATGATGATGTATCATTTGATTTTTCATCAAACCATATCAACGTAAAAATATCAAATTTTTCATCGTTTATAGACGACGATAAGCGTCGCTTTTGTTGAAATACAGATGATATTTCATATACTGTTGTTCGCATACTGTGAACGACACTTAAAGCACACTAAAGCTTTTAGATTAGTCCATATGAAGTCGATATTCGGCGAAAAGGACGAGACACAAATTTCCTGGTAGATCTTGACATGCTGAGTCGAAGCATGTAAAAATTGCAGAACCGCAGGACTATTATCTTAGCGGAAAAACTGTGCATTTCTCGCAATTTTCAAGCGGATTTGACCACCCCCATATCAAAGTGTGGTTATGAGATTTTTTTTCCTCGCTACCTCTTACCGTTTCGGGGTTTTCCATACGCAAAGGTCAATAGATTGGTGTTATTAAACTTGACACCTAACTGTGTGGGCTGACGGAATCAGATTTTTGATTTAGGTCTTCGTTCGCTAGATCCTTAAAACCCGAAAAATCCTTTCGTATTTTCCAGAGATCCTTGATTTTCTAGAAAACTAAAACCTAATTCAAAACTCCGCTCCCATCAGCCCACGCAGTTAGGCGTCTAGTTTAAAATAAAACCAATCTCTCTAGCTTGAAGTATATTCTAAAAAAGTGCCTCATAGTGGAGAGTGAGTTTTTGACCTTGGCCTCTGGAAACGCTGTGCATTCGTTGGTCTATTTCAGGACATGTAGGAAAATGCTTGTAATTTCAGGAACGAGAACTGAGTCGACTGATGTGTATGCTTATCCTATCTGAGTACTTTAATTTTTTTCGAATTTTCATCTTGAAAAAAACTCATCGAGATTTTCATCAAAAAATGAAAATCAACTAAAGGTTTCAAAATGCACATCAGTGGACTCAGTTTTCGATTCTGATTCCAAATATGATATTTTTATTACATAGAAGTTGAGTATAGATTGAGAAAATTGAGAATTATTGGCAGAATTCCGATTTTTTCGCTTGTGATTTGAAAAATGAATTTTCTCAGCAATTTGAACCAAAGGGCCAAACTTTGGCCAAAACCAAAAACAAAAAATTGCTTTTTTCTAATCATTACACATAAGTGCGATGAAGAAAAAGCGCTTTGTCAATAAGAAAAAAACGACGCATTTTGTTTTTGAAAAAGGAATTATAAGCCCATATATATTAATGCATGAAAAAAAATACGAATGTGAAAAGTAAAATGTTATGGTTCTACAATAATCTTGACTTGATCTTGTTACAATAATTCATTACCGCGCGACCTCGTCTTCATTCTAATGATTTTTATGAATATGTATTGTATAAGGTTCGGAGTTTGAGTACAAGATGCCTTCCCTTCTAAGCTGTAATTAAAATGGTCATTCAATATGAATAAAACTTCCGCGAAGTGCCCATGTCGAGTGTTTTGTTAACATTCTTCCAAAAATACACCATTTTTGTATGAGTTTTTCAGCGCTGTAATTTTACATGCAAGAAACGCGCAAAGAATTGGAGGCTATTGCAGAACATATTTTCTGTGGTGTAGTGCATATATTCTTGTAATGCCATTTCTCGGCGGTGCCTTTTGACACAACACTGTAAAATGAGTATTGCCAAAGTGTAAATTTTTGAAAAGTGGAATTTGTGCACTCTCATATCGATCCCAAATATAGGAGATCGTGTCAGTGCGGTGAGTGTGAGGTCACCAGGTTCTACGCAGCGAATACCTAAGAACTAATAGCTCCTTTCTCCATGTAATTGATATGAGAAGATGCGTTTCGCTGCATTCTTTTGTCAAGCTTTTCACTTCTCCAAAAATGTAGCGAAGGTTCATACGTGTAATTTTACTACAGATTTTGTCAAAACAATGACTCGTAATATTTGCGTTTTTTTTTCACAATAAATGTATCACAAAATTTTGACATGAGTATTCAGGCTATACAAATATTGCTCAATAAATAAATAGAATAAAATTTAACATTTTTTCGTGTTTTCGGATAGAGGCTAATGTCTTGCTCGAAGAAAGTCAACATGAAGTTATAAAGTGAGTGATACATTTATGCTCATATGCCCTCTAGTACCACTTATTGAGTATATTTACGATTCATGTTCAGGAGAATAGTAAAAGAGATATATCAAAAACAAAATTTACGATTTACTTTTCCCCAACTCGAAAGGTAGCGTAATTTTGTGAAGAAATACCTAAGCATGCACCGGTTATAATGGCGGAAGTCTACAATTTTTTTGTACGTGTCGCAAGCACTTTTTTGTTGAAGAGCTCTAAACCAGTTATAACCGATCATGGAACTTTGAAGACATGTTTCTTTTGTAGGTACTGGACGCAGATGAAGAAGACTTCCATAGCTCATCTTGTAGAAAAATGTTTGCTCTATAAAATTCAGTTGTTAGAAAAACAATAGGAAACGAGTTTTCATTGAGAAAAGGTTCTCGCGAAAAACGCGAGAAATTGCAACCGGTTATGACCGGTGGATGCCAAATAAAAACCAAAATGCTTCGATTTCGATTCGACCATTTGAGTTATTCTTTCGAATGATGAATGAATGAGTCAAATTTCAGATACCTGAAATGCTTTTTTTATATTGTTGGTCTCTCTTAGTAGCTGTCTAAAAAATATAAAGTTTTCAT